AAAAAAAAGTTAAAGAAAACATATGAAGTCAATAATAATTGTTACAGTTTTACAAAGATTAATGTAAGTAATATTTTTTCTTGTAATAACTATCTTAGAAGTTGTTTTACCTATCTAGGCCTTTTTTTTTTATAAATTAATTTTTTTAATACTCTGCAATACTCAAAATAGGTACCTAGTCAATTCAGCAAGAAAAAAAGATCATTTAAGAATTTCTTTTCGAAAGATGTTAAAAAAGTTTGTAAAACTTTAAGTTATTTAATACTGTGATGCAAAAAGAGTTGCTATCCAGTTTTTTTTTTAAATAGTTAAAAAGTATAGGATGCCTGATCAAGTAAATATTTTATATGTATATATATATATATATATATATATATATATATATATATATATATATATATATATATATATATATATATATATATATATATATATATATATATATATATATATATATATATATATCATATACATATATATATATATATATATATATATATATATATATATATATATATATATATATATTATATATATATATATATATATATATATATAATATATACATATATATATATATATATATATATATATATATATATATATATATATATATATATATATATATATAATATATATATATATATATATATATATATGTATGTATATCTTCTTCATATCCTGTAACTTCAGGGGTTCTTCAAGGTTCAATGCCTAGCCCTATACTCTTTTTAATTTACATTAACGATCTTCCAGATATTCTAACATCTAAGGTGGCATTGTTCGCTGACAACACTACTATTTATTCTTGTCATGATAAGAAGCCTACGCTCTCTTATTGTTTGGAGGGATTATCGGAGCTTGAAAAGGATCTCACCTCTGCTACAGCATGGGGCTCACAATGGCTGGTGAACTTTATTTCAGATAAAACTCAATTTTTTTCGGCAAATCGTTATGGCAATAGTTTAGATCTTCCTATAACTATGAATGGTAACGTACTAGGTGAGTCATCTACCCTTCATCTTCTAGGATTAAATTTTACATCTGATCTTTCTTTTAAACCGTATATCAAATCCATTGCAAAATTAGCATCTGCTAAATTTGTTAATCGTCGTGATGTTGAGTTTGGAAGTGAATCTTTCAGTAACTTTCTAACTCTTATAGTGGTTGCTCGCAGCTTTGTTGGAAGCGAAGATGTAATATATATATATATATATATATATATATATATATATATACATATATATATATATATATATACATATATATACATATATACATATACATACATACATATATATATATATATATACATATATATATATATATATATATATATATATATATATATATATATATATATATATATATATATATATATATATATATATATATATATATTATAATAGCATATTGTTTTTTAATTAAGTAATATATAGTATTTTATTCATTTACTTACTTATCTTAAGAATAATCAAATATAAAAAACGTTTAAAGTTAAGAATAGTTTTGATCTTTACTAGTGTGATTCTATTGTCAAGTTTCTTGAATGTGATCAATCATTTCTCTATACAAATGTTGCAAAAAGTAGTATATTTTTTATTATGGTTGAATGTTTAGTTTTCCTTTTGAGGGTAAATTACTATTATAAATTACATAAAAAATTTTAACCTGTGATTATATACATAATGCTCACTTTACAAATAAACATAATTTACACAAAGTTTTTGAATTGATTAAAACACTAATGAATTGCTTCTATGCCCAACATATCTTACACTAAATTGTATCATTCAATTACACTAGTGTTATCTTTTAAATTTAGAAATAGAAGTTATTAAATGTTGGTGGCTCATCATGCAGTGCATTTGAGAAGGGCATGCTTTCAAAGTAAGTATAATTTTACAATAAATAGAGGATTTTTAATACCGCAATTATATTGCATTCTTGATATACATAAATATACACGCTGGTCACAACAATCCACTCAAATATTTCTTAAAAAAAATAAATTTAGTGTTGAGAAATTCGTATTTTTTGATGTTTGATGTTATGTTTGTAAAATAATAATTATATATATATATATATATATATATATATATATGTATGTGTGTGTGCGTGCGTGTGTGTGTGTGTTAGTTATTTCTTTCCCCTTATTGTTACATCCTTATGTTGACAATATTTTTTTAGGGTTAAGACTGCTCCCTTAATTCTTACAGCAAAAAAAAGACTTTAAAATACTGGTGGTAATATTTTAAAGAGTGCACCTGATCGAAAAGAAGGTTAATGACGTCAACTGTTCGAACATTCGATTCTTGGAAATTAACAAGGGTAAGAAGAAGAAGTTTATAAAATTGTAATTTATAAAACTCATCACAATTATATTATTAAAAAATTTAAACGATTTATTATTTTTTTCTTATTCTCAAGAAGTTCTGTGAAAACATATATTTGAACCTTACGCTAAAGTAAAGCCATATAAAAACACGTATTTTAGACGTCAAAATGAGAACGTCTAAATTAGGTTATTTAAAGACGTCATCTGGCGTTGCCATTTAGAACCAGTTCCGGACGTCCTAAAAAGACGTCCTTTCGACGTCATTTGGACGTTGCCGTGCCCGCTGGATATACATTCCAGCAAACTATGTCGTCAAAGATCTGCATGTCGAAAGAATTCAGTTGTGAGTCATGGAGAGGAAAATCAAGAAATTTTTTGTCTTGGTTGTGATAGTAAGATTAATGTTACTCTTGCACGTGTAGGATTGACTCGACGTAAGTTAAAAGAAGTATGAATTGGTTTCATTCCCAAACTGAAACTATGTCAAACATGTTGTTCCAGCATCAAGCAGATCTGACAACAACTCAAAAGAAATTTTATCGATTGTTATAATACTAAATCAGAAACAACTTTAAGAGCAGTCGTTTGCGATGGAACCAATGTCAATGTAGGAAAAAGTATTGGCATAATCCGAAAAATTAAACAATATTTACAAAGACCACTTCAATTGTTAGTTTCTATGCTGCATACAAATGAATTGCCTTTGAGAAAACTGACAGAAGTTATTGATGGGATATCTACTGTTCCAAGAACTTCCAAAGAACAATTAGCAGGCATGATGGAATTTAATCCTCAACATAAACCTATAATTGATTTCTCTCCTGTATCAGGTTGCGTTGCTGAGGTTGATGAGATCGTAATGAGGGACCTGAATACAGATCAGGTGTACCTGCTTAAAATATGTCTCTTAGTTCAACGTGGTTACAACGCCAATAACAATTACATTGACTACTTGCAAACTGTTTAACCTGGTGCAGTCAGTCATGCCAGATGGCTAACTAAAGCCGACCGTTTGTTGAGGTTGTATGTTTGCGAACAGTGTCCTTCCCATAAACATCGACGTATTGTTTCATTCATACTGAACTTCTATGCACCGTTTCTATGGTTTCATATCAAATCTAATCCGACATTCCAAGATTGTTCCAAGAATTTCTTCATCATGTTGTCGCTTTACCAGAAACTTGACAAGCCTGATCAGGAGATTGTTGCGGCAGTTCTTCACTTTTGCCATCCGGAAAACATCTTGGTGGCAGCAGTTGGTGATGATGATGGAAATATTAGGAAATTCGCTGTTGAAAAAATGCTCGTAGTGAACATTCCGATGATAAAACTCGTTCTTTTGACAAAAGCTTGATCAAAATTAACTTCACGTGCAACTCATACTTAAACGTGATCGACTGGAACAAGACCATCTTTGCTTCAACTCCACTTCTGGATGACATCACGTCAGAAACAATTAATAGTTATTCAAAAGTTATTCTACCTAAGTTTCCATGCCGTTCGCAAGATGTTGAGAGAAATATCAAGAATATATCGGCGGTGTGCGGTAAAGTTTACGAACACGATTCACGCCATGGTGTTATCATTCAAATGAAGAAATTGAGAATAGACTTGCCCAATTATAAAACTAAAGCGGACTTTCTGCCATAAGTAAGACACTAATATTTAACATTTGTATGCTTGATATTGGTAAACATGCCATGTTGGTTATTTGCTTTATTTTCTTACGAAGATGTGGAATTGGAGACAAAAACCTATATGCGAGCAAGGCTCGAAAATGCGATAATTTGCAGACTAATTTGCTTGAAAACGATGATGTATATTATAAATCAGTTTTTTGCGTAAAAATTAATTTCATATAAAGCTTATATATTTGTCTCAGACCCTAATTAAAAATTTTGTTAAGTTTTGCCCCATATTATTATATACATATATATATATATATATATATATATATATATATATATATATATATATATATATATATATATATATATATATATATATATATATATATATATATATATATATATATATATAATATGTATATATATTTATATATATATATATGTATATATATATATATATATATATATATATATATATATATATATATATATATATATATATATATCTATATATATATATATATATATATATATATATAATTGTTATTATTGTTAATATTATTGATAATATAGTTATTCGATGCTATTGGATTATACTATTTGTTACACATCTAAATTTACTTTTTGATGGAATATGTAGAATATTTTTTATTACTAATCAATTAGGCTATTCATAACATGCATTATAAAATTAATATACATTTTAAAACCGCCAGAATGAATGCAAAAAACCGCTAAATTGAATGCAAAGAACGGCAGATTAAATAAAAAATCCTTGATAGTTTTTAATATAAAAATAACTTCACATTGATCTCATGTGACGGCTAGGTAATAATAGTGACAAATTGAAAAATGTAATAGTTAGTGACGTTCTTGAGCACCTCTATTCCATCATGTCACACGTTTTGTCAACAATTTTTCACAGTATACGTCAAAACTTACTTTCAAAAAAAACTTATTAGTTAACAAAGAAATAACCCTCCCTGCTTTGAAACCTGCGTCGTTGGCCGGGTTCAGTATAAAAGAAACTGTTATAATACCTTGATACATTATATTAGAACTAATTATAACTTTACAATGTTTATCACATTTTAAGACATCATGTTACTACACTTTATCTGCCATACCCTTGTGATTTTCGCAATATTTCAAATCCTTTAATCTTTGGTAGTTACAACCATTAACTACACACTAAAAAAATTATTATATGTTAAATATATATTCTTAGCCGTTTTCATAATATATTGTTTTTAAGATGTGAAGAAAAAAAGCAAAATACAAAAAACTTGTCATCCAGCCCCGTTGTATCATTTACATATTAAAAAAATAATAAGCTACTTTATAAAAAGGTATTACGGTATCAGTAAAATAAAATCATATATTTTTAAATTAAAAGTCTAACATTTTTTTTGTATTTTGATAGAATTAAAATATGAATTTAAATAAATTTTTTATAATTCTTTACAAAAACAAATTTATCTAGTAAGATATAAAACATGACAAACCTTTTTTGGGTTGTAACCGTAGAAACGAGTAAATTAATTTGAGGTTGTTATGAATTAGAAAATTACATTATACAAAAAATTATAACAAAAATTTACAACCACTCTTAAAAGCCCTGCATTTCTTACCAAACATTATTGTACATAATTTTAAAAATAATTTTTATGTTTTCACTGTTGGAAAATTAAAGCAAAAGGTCAAGTTTAGCAATTACATCAATTAGTTATTAGTCAAATCAAAAATATACGGCGTAAATTTTGTTTTACGACAAACGAAACTTAAAAACTAAAACAGTTATAATAAAAAGTGTTAACTTTACAAAACCAAATATTCTTATAAACATTTTTTATAAAATAGTGAGCAAATATCACAGTTATTTGAAGCGTTTTGAGGTAAAAGTAGCGATAAACTAACATTTTCAAATTTTTTCTGCTAACAAAATTAAAAGATTTCATAATTTACATCACAGATAACCTGACTGTGTTTGGAGTTACCTCATATAATTATCGTTTTTTGGTCAGCTAGAATGGCATTACCAAACTTCATGGTAACCGTGATCATAGTTATCCCAAGTAACAAAAAACGTTCAACGAATGTTGGGAACGTTCATAAACTTACTATACAAGTTCATATAACGTACTCGAATGTTCACAACGTTTTGCGTTAGCTGGGATAGTCAGATTATGAAAGAATTGTTACATCAGAAGTTCTTATAAATAAAATCTTTGAATAAAAATGGTTTCAAATTTTATGATGTCACAATATGTTTTATTACTGAAACCAATATTGATTACATTTGTTCAATTTGATTATCATTTTAAGTTAAGAAAAGCCTAAATAAGTATATTTAATAAACAAAAAATGTGACTTATTCTAAATTAAGATTTTTGTTGCTGTTATATTAAAGGAGAGTGTGTAAATATAAAACCACTCTGATAGCTTACAATTTGAAGATGACACAAATGATATTTACATGGAGAAAAGTTTACTGTGATACGACTTTTTTGAGTATACTAAAGACTATTCATCAAAATTGAGATTATTCATCAGAAATTGATATGGCTGTGAAAATCGTCATACATTTGTAATACATTTTTTTGAAAAAATCTCAAAGTTAGATTTAAGAGCCCAATCAAACAAGACGTCTGCAATAACAATGTAAGAAATAAGAAATATTTTTATAACTATATATATATATATATATATATATATATATATATATATATATATATATATATATATATATATATATATATATATATATATATATATATATATATATATATATATATATATATATATATATATATATATATATATATATATATATATATATATATATATATGTATATATATATATATATATATATATATATTAGCTGAGATCAGACCCGTAAAAGTACGAGTCTTTGTATATCTGTTCCAAACCAAACTTTTCTATACTTTTTTCTTATATATCCTAGCTTTACGGATCCGTAAAATACAGATCTTTACTAATTGACATATCTATTTCTCGCCGATTATTTCTATATCTATTCCTTATTTACTTCAATGCTTTTTTATAAAAATACTTTATTTTGAAAAAAAATTTAAGAGCAAAAAACTTAACATGCGCACCTTTTCCGATTACCTTAAACTTATTAGAGACTTATAATTAGGTTTTTTTTTTCTGCTAAATGCATTAAACTGATAGCTCAGTGGTTAAATGCGCTGTCATCAGCGTTGTTTTGGAGGGTTTAAAACCTTCTCTTAGCGAAATGAATTTTGAAATTTTTTCATATATTCATAGTGAAAAAATAATAATATAGAAACAAAGGTTTCTAAAATTCAAATTAAGTAAACACCAGTTCTAAAATTCAAATTAAGTAAACACCAGTTAACACAATTATATTATTCATTTATACATTGTCATATAAACTACGCGAATATTATATGGGGAAGCACTCACAGAACAAAGCTAAAATCTCTTTACCTTCATCAGAAACACGCAACTCGCGTAATAAACTTTAAAAATCGGTTTTTTCACACAAAACAACTTTTTAAAGAAATGAATATTTTAAATGTATATCAACTAAATGTCTTTAATATTTTATGTTTCATGTTTAAATGTAGAAAAAATTTGTCGCTAAATGTATTACAAAATCTTTATTGTATGAAACCTAAAAACAAATATAATTTTCGAATTAATAACAGTCTTATTGCCCCTTTATGTCGTAAAAGCAAAGACCAGTTTTTGTTTCTTACCGTGGCCCTTATCTCTGAAACAAAATAGTCTAACCAAATTTTGATTTTTCAACCCAACTGACTTTTGCTTCATTCAAACAAAAACTTAAAAAAATTATATTTTTAATTGAAAATATTTTGATTTATTTTTAATTGCCATATTTTGTTTTGTTTTTGTTGTTATTTTATTTTGTATATTATTTGGTTTAAAATTTTATCTTGGCTTTTTAACATTTTATCTTGGTTTTTAAATATTTTTGAATAGAGGTGTATTATTATTTCACTACAGACATTGTATTTTTATTAAAAGTTAACCATATATTGTAAAGGGCTTTATGACAAGATCCTCATGATCTTCTAGAAGTCCTATCGTTACTAATGTAAAAATTGTACAATAAAAAAAAAATAAAAAATTAAAAATTAAAATTTTCAAGTTTTCTCATTTTATAGATATATAGATATATGCGATCATTCCATATAATGCCTGCAAACTCAACATATGATAAAGACATTTACACTTGCATACGTTTGTACGTAACGCTATGCAAATGAAATTATGAAGATCTAAGCAAATCGAAGTGTTATTCTTATGACTAAGAAATAAAGAATAATAATAAACGCTTATCTAAAAGATAAGCCAAAAAAATTTTTGGGCATCGATGTCAGTTTGTGGCAAAATAAACCTTTATGTGTCAAGTTTCCTTTTGTATTTATCTTACATTTTATAAATTAATTTTCATTATGTTGCATATAAAGGCATAAAAATATATAAAACTTGTACAGATATATTTCACGGATAAGAGATTGTATTTAATATAATTGCAATTTTTTTTTTTTTTTTTTTTTTTTTTTTGAATGTATTTAGGTGCTCCCAGAAGTCCTTACGGTCTTATCATAGAGCACCGCGGGTGAGCATTTAACAGGAAGTTTACGCGTCCTTCCGTACCAATGTCACTTGTTGGGCTAGAGCTGGCATCGAACCTCGGACCTCTGAGTTCTGAGCCAGAAATCTAACCACTGCGCCACGGCTGCAATTATTAAGTTAAAAACATTAACAACAATTATTAAGTTAAAAACATTAACTTTTCTTTAAAATATTTACACTGCAAAACAAGGTTTTGCAATGTAAATACTTTATTATGCTATATGTCTCAAACATACAGAATTAAAATGCAATAAAATCAGACCATTTATTAGCAAGAAATATCAGACACAACAACTGTTATGGAGTCAATAGCTGTTAATAAAATTCTAATTTTTTTCATTGCCAAATTAATGCTTATCATATTTCTTTATTTAAATGGTTTCGCAGTGATGAAAATTACAAATTGAAAAACTATAATATATTAGAAAAATCATTGAAAAAAATTTGGTATTAAGAGATTATTTCCTTCTTGTGGGAAGATGTACTTCTCAAAAGCAGCCCATTATCAAAGTGATAAACAATTTGATGAAGATTGAGAAAATAATCTTTTTAAAAAAGTTGTTTTTGTTTTTATTATTGTAGGGCTTCAAAAATTTATTCTTATGTTTTAAAATCCTCATCTAAAGTTTACATAACAGGTTTATGTTTGAAAAAAGAAATTGATGAGTGTATTACTCAATGCACAAATCTAAATTTAAGATAAGAGCTGTTGTTACCGATATCCATTCTACAAATGTTAATGAATATTTGTATTTTTACAAAGCATATACTAGAGATGGAAAATTATTAATTTATCATTTAGTTTAGAAAAGAAGTGTTTAAAACATTTTTTTCAAAACAACTTTTTATTCTCGGTTTTTCTTTTTTTAATCATTAAACAGGCAAGAAAAAACAAAATTAATTATCAAGTCACATTTTTTGAAAACAACAAACAAGTTGTCAACATTGACAATATTTGACGAAACAACTGCAGCTGTAATTTAGAGTTATTTTTCTGAAGGAAATAACGCAGCACAATTTTTATTATTGTTTTATAAGTTATTTATCATACTTAATTCAAAGCAGAAACTTAATTCATCCAATCAAACCCAGCAAATGCTGCTTCGAAATGTGATAACAAACACTTTATAGAGAAATTGCAAATTGTACTGAAATTCGATTAAAATAAAATTTGATAAATACTTTACATTAACCAAACAAACTTCTTGTGCTCCAATTACAACACTATAAGCGATTGTATACATTTGTTTATAGTTCCAATTTACAAAGTGATCCTTTGGAGCTAGGTTTTAGTAAGCATAGTTAAATGACCAGTAGTAGACTTTTTGTGAGTCTTTTAGAATTATGCATTAGTAAAAAGATTTTGGCAAATTTTCCCAGAAAATATTTATCTGAATTTTGATAATCCTTAAAAGATATTATGCAAGATATTTCTTAGTTGTCTACATAAATACTACTGTCAGTTTTCTGAAGATAGCACAAATATATATATATATATATATATATATATATATATTATATATATATATATATATATATATATATATATATATATATATATATATATATATATATATATATATATATATATATATATATATGTATATATATATATATATATATATATATATATATATATCTTTACTTTATAAAGAAAAGAACCTATATATTCAATTCTACCTCTATCTAATTTTATTTATCATCATTTAAGTACTTTATGTTATTTTTCTTATTCTAATAAAACATTGCAGTCAATCTTTTTCAATTTGATCTAGCAGTTTCAATTTTACAAATAAAAACCACCAAAAATGGGGAATCAAATATAAATCTCGTATTGTTAATAATATTTTTTATATCAAAAAATTACATATTCATTGAGAAAAGATCAAGTAAAAGAATTCCAAAAAAGACAAAATAAACATTTCTAGCAAAAATTAATTCTTTTAATTTCAATTATAAAAAATACAAAACTACAAACCTTTTTTTTGTTCAATGGAGAGTTTTAGACAATCTTAGCAACATGAAAGATTATTTTTAGTAGCATGTTGGTATGCGTTGATATAGTTATCTGAAAGCCTACTTCAGTATTCTGTGTAGTTGGAATAAACTGAAGCAGGCAATCAGTTAACAAAAAATGTTGCATAAAATAATGTAAGAACTCAAAGAAAATCTAACTATTATTAAACCATTTTAATAAAACAAAAATAAAACAATTATAGTGCAAACAAGACTCTTAACCATAACAAAAATTTATTTTTTATACTTGAGCCGTAAAAAAAACTGGCATCTTAATTTTTTACGGAAAATGCAACAAATCAGGCCGTGTAATTTAAGTAGGCCATGATTGTATTTAATAAAATAGAAATAAATAAATAGTTTTTGACTTAATTAGAATATATTCCGCAAAAATATATTCCATATATCTTTAATAAATAGATTTCTTTAAAAAAATTTAAACAAAATCTTATTTCTATGACTATCATTTTTAAAGATATAAGAAGCAGATGACATAATTTTAGCAATCAGAAATTATTAAGAGAGGTGCAAAATTAAAGTTGAAGTTTCAAATTTTCCAATCTTGTTAATTTATTTAAATATTATAACATAACTACAAAAAATCAAAACACAACAGCTTGAGCAAAAAAGACTTGTCATTATTAGAAAAGTTTCTTATATAAACGTATATATAAATGGATTTTTGACATTTTATAAACAATATATGTATAAACAAATAAAATATTTGTTTATATATACATTGATTACATAGAGACGGTTGAGCGTAACTAAGTTTAAAAAAAATTAGTTTATATCAAAATTAAAAAATGATTTATATAATGTTTTTATGCAAAAACCAACCTATGATAAAATTTTTAAGTGCTGTAATAAAATTTTGAACTACAATTACTATATTCACTATAATAAAATTTTTTACTATAATAAAATTTTAGAGCACTAAACAGCAATTACTTTTAATTCTTTTGATTAAGTGGCTTTTGTTAAGAGCTTTTAAATTTTGCGTCAAATTATCTCATTTAAACATATTCGTTGCATCATCCATACTGCAGCTGTTTCTCAAAGCGCCCTAAGGTAAAAAATATCATTTTTGACTTTTTTACAAAACAAGCTACTTTATATGTCTACAAACTTTATTGAATACATATTTTCAATGAGTTCTGAAAAAATTTATAAAAATTATTTGTTTTGAAAAACGTTTTACAAAGAGTTTATATATGCATTGTTTGCGCTAAACCATCTCTATTTAAAAATTTATTTTTTAATTGCGTTTTTCTCGTAACACGTATTAAGCATATTAAGGTGTTTTGAAAAACAGCTGCAGCACATATTTATTGTAAAAAAGTAAATGTAGCAAAAAAAACTATTAATTGTCAAAAGAAGTTTAAAATTTTTTTCTAACTACGGTCTTTTTTTTTTTTTTTTTTTTTATTTGAAGCTTTTCTGGAGTAGCAGAACTGTTTTAAAAAGTTTTTTTTTTATTAAGTTTTGGAAAACTTTTTTTTAAGACCATCCGCAGCTTATTAGGACTAATTACCTGAGCACGTTTTTAACATAAGTATCTCAATCGTGACACATACGTAACAATTTTTTTCTCCCGGTGTTTTGATATTTTTAAAAATATTATCTTTTTTAAAATCTTCGTTTAAGTGTATAATATCGTTACATATGTTTTTATTAACACTCTATAAAACTTCAAGAGTATTTTGTATTTTAAAAAGTAGAAAAAAAAAAAAAGTTTTCAATAGTAGAACACAAACCAGGGCTTACTTGTTCAGAAGCTATGCGCTTTTTCCACTCGGCCACGCTGGCACGTTGTTAAACGAAAATATTTAAAAATATGTAATGACGGTTTTCACGGAAAGATATGCTGTTCATCAAAGTTAAGAAGAGCTTGACGCAATGCAATTTTTAAGTGAAAATCTAACTAAAAGACTTGATAAACGTTTCAGTGTGTTTTAACATTACAATCAAAGTGTATGTACGATAGACATTTGCATACACGTTCGTTCACGTTTTCTTATAAAACAAAGTGCTGCAACATTTACTTGCCACTACCTCAGTTGCAATGGCTGCCAATGGTTTCGTGTCAAATACGCTTTAAGGGGCACTACTATTAAAACTATTAAGTTCGGCATTATTATATAGAAGATATACCAAATATATACGAAATAACTGCTATTGTTACATGTTAACTTAAAATACTTTAATTATGTCCAATAGTTTTTCCAAAATAGATACTGCTATTTGATTTGTTCGTTTCACTCATGTTCGTTTGCATTAAAGGAGTGTTTTTTAAGGTCAAATAATAGGTACCGTTTTTCTTATTCAGTCAAGTTGTAAAAATCAATTGTTTTTAAACATGTTTTTTAATTTACATGGTTTTTTAAACCTAGTTTTTATTAATTTTAACATAATATCTTTTTACAACAAAAATATTATAATAGAAATGTAACAAAACATAAAAAAAGGTAAAACACTAAAAATCTCATTTTGTAAAGAAAATAAAAATTTAAATTTTTTCTTTAATAAACTAACCATTACCTTGTTATCTTTATCATGAGAATAATTTGGACCAATATTTGGCACAGTTGTGTTCATTTCAAAAGTTTGAGTCTCCAAGTTGATTTCTCAGTTATTAACTCTAATCACCTTTACTAAAACAGTGGTTGTTGAGAACGGGAACTATGATTCAAATATATTATAAACTTTATTGTTTTTTTCCATGAATCGACCTAATGTATTTATAAAGCGAGAAATAACCGGTTAAACTAGCGCGATATTTACTTTATTTAAAAAATGTATATGTAATATAATCTACAGTGACACTTAATTATCATATTACATTTAGTAAACGATATAAAATCAAACAATATTCCAGACTAAATGTGCTGTTTGTCACATAGACGCCTTACTGGTCATGTATGTGCACGAAAAGGTGCACGTCTACCTTGGCAAACAATTTTCTAAGTTTTACACATTATACATTACTTTACGACAGGTAACACTTTACGACAGGTAACACATGCTCCTGAAATGAAACGCTATTTAACGCACAATTTTATCTAATAACTTAATCCTGCACCCAAGATAAAAAATAGAATGATATATTACACGCAAATATTTGTGAAAACCATGTTTTTGAAGCTATTTTAATAAAATAAGCAAAATTTTAACTGATATTGCTGTCGCAGATCAAAAGGCTTTTTCGATATAAATTCAGTGCCTCATTTCGACTTAAAAACAGCTTGTTGTGGAAAAATCTTAAGGTTTGCCTAATTGTCACTACTCTGGTGGTTTTTTGCACTACTCTGGTGGTTTTTTGCATTTAATCTCGCGGTATTTTGCCTTTAATCTGGTGGGTTTTTGCATATATTCTGGCGGTTTTTTTACATTATATCTTGTAGTTTTTCATTATCATAATAAATAGTTTTGTTTTTTACTATTTTATTTTTAATTTAACTTCCTTATATACAATATATATCTGTTTTCTCTTTTGTTTTTTTAAACTCAAGAATGAATAACGCACGACGTCAATGCTCAAAAATTAAAGTTGACGTAAGAAATTTAATCATTTGTCTTGTAAATAACGAAGGGAAAAGTGTAAAAGATGTGTTGCAACACGTAATTGCTCGCACGCTAGCACGTTGCAATTTTTAAAACTGTAAAACTTGATAAACGTTTCAGTATGTTTTAACATTACAACCAAAGTGTATGTACGTTAGACATTTGCATACACGTTCGTTTACGTTTTCTTATATAACAAAGTGCTGCACATTTATTTGCCACTACCTCGGTTGCAATGGCTGCCAAGGGTTTCATGTCAAATACGCTCCAAGGGAAATTACTATTAAAACTAATAAGTTCGGCATTATTATATAGAAGATTATTATTGTTATTATAAACGTTACCGGTATAAAGAATTATTGCAAATTATTACAAATTATTACAAATTATTATTTGCGCGTCATAAAAGTTAAATCAATAGCGGTTCTTTTATCTATGTTATTAATTTCTATTGTTAACTATAGTATTTTAACTATAGTAAAAAAAAAAACAGAAAACTTTCTAAAGTTATAAATTAAGATATAAAAATCAAGTTTTAAAAAAATTAGAATCATGTTTTTCAAATTCATTATTTAATTAAAAGGTTACATAAATGTTAATATATATATACCAAATATATATTTTTTTGGTGGTTTGTTAAGGTGCTCACCGAAGTCTGTACGGTCTTTTCACAGAGCACTGTGGAAAAGCATTTAACTACGAAGCTTATGTCTTCTTCTATACCAATATCATATAATGGGTTAGGCTCAGCACCAAACCTTAGACCTCTTGTGACTGAGCTAGGAGTTCATACTATAGCGCCACGGCTGCGTTAAAAACTATATCTATGATTTTCCTGTATACTTGAGCTGAAGCCGTTTCCATGCCAGGTTAAGTTTTGAGTGTCCTAAAAACAAAAAATTTATATTTCTTCACAAAGACGGTTACACTTAGAAGGAGAGTAACGGAATCTGTCGTGGATTAAGAATAGGGCTTTTTTTGAAGAAAGCAATCAACCTGCAGCAGAAGAATAAATGCCTGAGTAATTTCCAAGAGTAAAAATGCCTTAATTTTGCCAATCTCTTTTAATTCTTTTTGTCTCTATCCTACAATACTAAATATCAATCTCCTGCTGAACGCAACGATAAACATTAAATGTGAACAGGCCTTAAAAAGGCCTTGAAAAATAGCATTGTTGACAGATTTTATTTTTTCAGTATGTTGTGAGATTGAGAGGACACCCGACCTTCATCCGTTTACTACGTCTATTAGTTCACTTAACAAATTTCGAGTGGTATAAGAAATGGATATGTGAAGTTAAAACATTGTTTGAGAAAGTTGCAATTTGACAAGAGTGATAAAAATTTGACATTTGAGAAAAAACGGTTAAAATGGCGAATGAGGCAAGATGGCTTATTTTGGTCATCTTACCCGTCGGATGATGGATAATTTTCATATAACAACTCATCAAAAGTTTAAATTGAGTGCAAACGACACTGTATTTATATAGGGTTGATTAGAGTATTGTAAGCTCTTTAAGTAAAAATTGGAATATTTTCAAGAATAATACTTTTTGGATCCAAAATTTTTGCAAACAAACAATTTTTAGGGATTACTACTCATGATCCACTAATATTTAGGCACCCAAAAGTTTCCTTAAAAATACAAAGGTTTTAAAAAAGTAGAAGAAGTGCTCATATTACCCAGACCAAAAAATACCAACCTGATAATCAGAACGAAACTGTGAAATTTAATGTTTCGTTATTAGCAAGACTTGTTATTAAAAGACCAAACTTTGAGCTCCTTGTTATTGAAATAATATTATTTTGTTTTACAAAAAAAAAAAAAAAAAACAGTAGTTCGTTTTTTTTTAGTTTTATTCAAACCTTACACATTTTTTAAAATTAAATTACATTAAACTCAATTTAATTTATTTTTTTAATTTAAATAAAAATAAGTTTTTTTAAATATCATAATATTTTATTGTGTTTTGTTTTTTTTAAAAAGCAAATGAAAATACTCGATTTTGATTGCATTGCACAGCAATTTTACGACTTTAAACCAGGAAACTTAGATAAAAAACACTAGGTAATTTGAGCATACTCATATTAGACAAAAATGATATCTTTAAATCAAGTCAAAGTTGTTTATGAGTTATGATAATCATTTAACAACACAAAAAAATTAATAACTTTTTTAATTAGATGAGAACCGCTAATAACTGCATATAGATTTACGTTAGGTTTTTGATTTCTATTATAACCAAATTAAATATAAAGTTTGATTACTTATATATATATATATATATATATATATATATATATATATATATATATATATATATATATATATATATATATATATATATATATATATATATATATATATATATATATATATATATATATATATATATATATAACAAATTTTAAGGCCTATCACAGTGAGGAGGGCAATTTGTCGAGGGTCTTGCTTATTCAGCAATCTTCACTTTATGAGATGAATATAGTTGGAGGCGTATGAAATTAAAGGACAACTTTAAACACTTATCTTTTTGATTGGTGTTGCAGTTTTTTAAGTATTAAACTATGCTTAAGTATTAAACTATGCTTAAACCATACAGTTTTGCGCAATGCTTTTATATAGTTTTTATGCAGTTTTAAATGACTTTTATTCGCATTTTGTACGCTCACACGGTTAATCATAAAATTTAAATTGATATGTAAATTTAATATTTTGAAACCTGTAAAAAAAAATTTTGATTTAATTTTGTGTTTCTTGTATTTAATGGCCTTATAATTATTTAATGCATTATAAATTTAAAATGGAATTGTTGCGTTATTTGGTTATTTGCAGGTCCATGGCTGTAAGAAAATCTGTATAGTAATAAATAAAATTCATTTTTTTAATTTAATTTTATCTTTTTATATATAAATACATAATTTTTTTTTATTCCGTTGTGTCTGTTTATTTATTTATATCTATTTCAAAGTGTACCAAAATTTTTGTAGCCGTTTTAAAGTTTATGCGTCTTAAGTTTCTCCTTGATTCGCTCGTAAATAATTTTTAAATGGTTCTAGTTTGTTTAAACTATTGAAAAACAGATATTATAACCATTCTCAATCATTGTAATAATAATTGTGTTTTGGAGGTTTTTTACCATAATCAACCTTTCTTTTTTTTTCGGAAACTACTTTTTTTATTTCCATAAGCGATCGTCCATAAATTACGTAACGCTAACTTTCACAATAAACAAAACACAAAAGATCAAATTTTTTCCTTCGCAGAATCTTAATTTAAATAAAACATTAAAATACCCCATTACGTTTACTGAAAACCGCCGCGTAAAAAAGCTTAATTTCTTCTATTTCTGTTTTTAGCGTTGCATAATTTATGGACGATCTTTAAGTAACCTCCCTCACCTGATTTTTTTTTTTTTTTTTTTATAAGCAAAGAGTTTTGTCATATATTAAAATTTACAATGAAATAAATCGTTTTAATAAATAAGAAAAATGGAGCAAGCAGAACACATAAATTGTCTTATCATCAAGCCCCATCATAAAATTTGCATTAAAAATCATCAGTTAATATAAAAAATGAAGAGCAGCTCACGGTCGTTTATGAGCGTTAAGTTTAGGTGCGCATGTGCCAGAAGTTGATAGAAATTTCAGAGATTTTAAAATGGCTGCGGTTCTTAGCTACATAATCTTTTTTATATAGCAACTGCTATATTTAGTTTATTTTTGTAAAAATTGATGTTGGAACCATATTACTGATCTAAATCAATAAATAAATGCCTTTTTTGCATTAGTAAATAAATGAATACACTAACCAATTATTTTTAAGTTTTTATTTTGGCTAAAACTTTTATTTGTAACATTGAGTGATTTGTTTATTTTTTTTTTTTAATGAATGTTAAGAATTTCTAACTGTACAAATTTAAAAATATAATATAAAAATGTAATTAAATTAAAACAAGTCTTACAATAACTTTAACTTGCAGTTGCTAAAAAAATTTGCATTGCTATAAGAAATATCATATATATATATATATATATATATATATATATATATATATATATATATATATATATATATATATATATATATATATATATATATATATATATATATATATATATATATATATATATATATATATATATATATATATATATATATATATATATATATATATATATATATATATA